TGGCGCGACCCCTCTGAGGAGGTGGTGCAGGATTTTGGACCTTCAACTTGTTTTTGCTTTCTCACTGTGGTGGCCCCAATGTTAACGAGGGAGAACGAGGGCAGCAAGAAAAGTGTGCGCAAAGTGGTGCAGGATTTTGTCCATCAACAGTATGGGGTCAGCACTACTTTGCAGGGATGCAAAACCTGAAGACCTTGTTCCGTGGGTGAGCACATGTTCTCAGTGGCACTGGCATTGACCGGCATCCAGCGAAAAAAACAATGAAATCAAATACTCACCCCTACATTTGAAAGGCACCCGACGTCAAGTCCTATCAAAGTCTCGTGCTTTTGTTGGGCCACTTGAGAGTTTAGAAGGGGAGCTCCAAGGACTACACTTTTGTGTCAGTTTGGGTTTGTCTCCTTTTCATCTGTTCCGTTCAGAACGGGTCTTAGCCATGTGGCGCCTTCCCCATGAAAAGCCTTCACTGTGAAACATTCAAAACCACAGGCATGTGCCACCCACGGGCGCGTATCACTTGGGCACCAGGTGAGCTGAACAAATGACATCATGCCCGGCCCTAACCTGGGTGAGCTTGTGCTGGCAAACTGTCATTCGTCCACTGCGGCAAATAAACCAATCTCATCTACCTACAAGTCTCCTCTACCAGGACCTTCCAAACCCGGTGGTTTTTGGGCACCTGGTAGACACCTCTATAAGAGGCTGTTTATAGACACCTCGACTGGTGTCGGTCCTGGTAGAAGGTTGTTGGGCCCATGCCCAGGTCTCACTTGGTGACCTGTGAAGTCGGAGATGGTAAGTGGATGTTCTGCACGTCGCCCTGGGCGACCCCCACGTTGCCCATCTGTAGCTCTGAACATCTCTCAACCAGTAGCTGTAGCTTGGTTTTGGCAGAAACCAATGGAACCTCTCCACCCATCAAACTCTTTCATCTCTCCACAGAAAACTCTAGACTCTAAAACATTTTAAAGTTTTCGCCGCTTTGGCCCACTGCGGACGTGTCGAGTCGCAAAAGCGGCCGGACGTGTCGCTCAATCCGGGCGGTCGCCGTCCTCGTGGGAGTTCCGCTCCAGGTCCTCGTCGTGGGAAATGCGCTTCTCCTGGCGCTCGATCGTCGACGAGACGAGACGTGACGTGGGAAGAGACGTGCGCCGCGAGACGAAGCGCTTTTCGACATGAGCAAGACATGAGCAAAGAATATGACCAAGGTTGGTTGAAGAACCCTATATATACTGTCATGAAGGAATCTCATAGGTACCCCAGAATGATGGTCCCTAGTATGGTCATTTGACATCGTGTAACCTCTCTTGGTACCTTTCAATGAGGAGTTCCAAAGTAGAGGGCACTGGTGTCCATCAGGCAGGAGGTCTCTTATCCGTTTTAAGTGAAGGCGTATGTCATGGAGAAAGACTGGAACAAAATTTTCCTTTGCAAGGTCATACAACAAGTCTTTAAGTACTTGCTCACGATGCTGAAGTTCTTCGTGCCACACTCTGCCAACTCCTCTGGGGTGGTTTCTGCTTGAGCTAAACCCATGGCTCCCGGTCGGTGCCCGCTCGTTCACCCCATTTGCTCCCCGCTTCCTGTCGCGCCAAAGCCCCCCGTGCCCAGCGGGCGATGAGGTGGATCACCTGGCGATGAGGTCATCCGACGCATCACGCGGCCGACCCCACGGGGTTTTGAAGATGAAAGGATGGCACTCCCAGCAGTCAAGGGTCACGGGTGGGAGGTCATCTTCAGGGTTGGGAAGTGGAAGGGATGCCACTCCCACTTCCAACAAACACGTCTCGGTGACTGGGGGGGGTGACTGGGGGGACCCTGACCCCTAGAAGTCCAGTTCGACTATAGTTTGACCGACTAAGGTAAAGGAAATTCCTTGACTTGGGTCACCTAGTCAGACCATTCTAGAATTATACTCTTTGACTCCCAGGGTTACTGTAACTTAGTCCCTCAGTTTCCCTGGGTAAAAAGGGTTAACCTTTTTCAGTGCTTTAGGTTTCACTAAGACAATCACTAATAAAAAACATGCCCTACACACCCAGGACCCACAAGCCCATTTTCCAAGATGACAGGTGCTTGTGACAAGAGCCTTAAGCCCATAGACGAAAGCAAGAAAGAGGTGTGCTTGGACCCTAAAGCGCTGGCATCCTCAACTGAACTTGGTGAGTTGCAGACTCAAGTTTCTCAAGTGCTTTCAGGATCCGAACTCACATCCGCAGCTCACGTCGGCAGCCACACAGGCGCAGCGAGCCCAGCCCAGAGGCACCTGAGCCACACAGACCCAGTTTGAGGCTTTGGAGCCCTGCGCAAGACTTGGCCTTTGACCCAATCCTAAAAGGGGTTGGCTGCAGTGGCTACTTTCAGGCGCCTGTGAACAAACAACATGGCGGATTTATAACGTCCGGGCTATGACCAATGGAAAAGCCCTGCCACTGCCTGTCTCACGCACCGACCCCCTGTCTGCCGGTAAGACGCCAAGATTCAGAACTATGAGCCGGCATCGCCCAGCGCACCTGCAGCGCAGCAGCACCGCAGCGCGCAGAGCAGCAGCGCAGCGGCGCGCCGCCGAGACGCGCAAAACGTGAAGTCACTCGGGAAGAGTCGCGCCGTCGAGATGCACAAAACATGAAGTCACTCGGGAAGAGCTGGTGTAAGATGCAGAGATGTTCGAACAACGTGAGCAACAAAAGAGGTTTTAAGGACCTTGGAATGAAGGAGGTTTGACACCCTTTTACGAGACTCATGATGGCCTTTGTGAACCAGCCTTGTGAGAGCACAGTCACACTCTTGCGCCAAAACAACCTCAACAGTCCGACTCCCTAGCAACGCTCAACGCTCAAGACCAACGGTTTTGGCCTTCTTGTACCGTTCATAGCGCAAGTGAGCACCAGTGCCTGGCCTCTTCCTGCTCGTGCTCTGGAAGCGGATCCGGGTGTCACTCTCAACATTTAGCGATGCCATTGCCAAGGCAGAATGGCGTCCTAGGCGCCTGAAGAAGCTGGCCTAGCTTGCTTGACAAGTGTTTTTGGTAACTGGCTTCGGTTATTTTACTAGATGGATTGCTTGCTTTCGCAGCTACATAATGAACCTACCAGGGAAAACCGTCTATCACTAGTCTTGACATCGACTGAGTGGGCGCTTATCTCCAGCCCTCTGAAGAGATAAAAGCACGGACGAGCCGGCTCAGTCGCTCCAACAACTTGCCCACCGCAAGACTCACATTTCAATCTTACTGCGATGTTCTGGCCCGCAATCAAAAGGACTTTTCGTCGCTCCAGCGCTTCTCGCCAATGAGTGGTCTTTATAAACGACTTTGCTTTTGAAACATAAGCATTGAAACAGTGGAAACATTGGCATTGCTTTTGCAAGGTGGGAAAATTGATTCACGCATTGGCATTGGAACCCCAGGCTGACTGCACAAGCGCAGCCTTCAAGCACACCCTAAAGCCTAAGTGCGTCCGAACTTGCACTTCGGACTGTTCTGTCTCTCCATACCCCTCCAAGCCAACTGCAACACTGGTCACCACGCCCAAAACCATAGGCTCGCTATAGGATGCCACTATATGAGCCAGTGAGGCCTCACTGCACTTTGGCAAAATGTCGAGGAAGCAGGCCAGCACGCGGAGCATGCAGCTTTCACTCAAAGCCTAGTAGCATACGCCCTCGCGCTTGCAAGTGCCTCCGCAAAGAAGCTGGTCTCTGAGCAACAGCTGGGGGTGAGATCTTTCTTTTCATGAGAACAGACTTGACAGCAAAACAGCCTTTCCAAAACGAAGGTCCGACATCTACCTGCACCCCGGCTTCGATCTGGAGCGGCCATGCCACCTCTCTCAGCCGGTCACTCCTTGCGCTCTTTGCTTTCGCCTGACAAGGGGCAAAAGCAAGCAAGAGCCCAGCCGAAACAAGAATCAGCAGAAAACGGAACAAAATGCCCTTGCGCTCAAACCTAAGCTCGGCCCAAAAAAATAGAAACTCGGAAGCACCTCCACACTTGGGGGCATTTCCGCCGTGGGAGGCACCACATCTCCGCTATGGGAGGCATTTCAATGGGAAAAAACTGACCCCAGAACCCCTGGTGACCATTGTTATCTTTTAGCAGCGTGTTTGGAAGGGTTCTGGGGTCAGACTGTCAGACTTTAAAAGCTGAGTTCGCGTTGCGGAGCTTCCCAGCTTGCCCATCTTCACTGTCAAAGGCCGGCTGCTCAAAGGCAGCCTGCAAAGCACCATCCTGCCCCAAAGGTTTCTGGGAGATTCAGGTCTGATCTCGAAGACAAATGGGCCAACTGAGAAGAAGACTGCCCCAGTGACAACATCTGACAACGGAAGTTCCCTCCCCGCCAAGCACAGACTTAGCAGAGATAGGATCTGCTCTAGGGATAAATGAAATGAAAAACAGCCTCCTGCGTGGCGTGCTCTGATCACAGCTGTAATCTGGTCATGGCACGTTGAAGGACTGGTGCTGATCACAGCCGAACTCTGATCATGGCTTACGTCTTGCCTTCGAAGCGTGCTCAAGGTCATGCGCGGTCCAGAATTTAAAAATGGCTTGATTCATCATGCATGATGAGAAACGGCTTCATACTGAAGAAAAACATCCTTCGAGCCAACCCCTGGACTGACAATGAAGCTTTTGCAGACAAGTCTGTAAAGTAAAGAGATCTCTGAAGAAAGGTCATTGGGGCACTGTGCAAATCAGAATCGGAAGCTTCTGTTTCATCCTTGGCGCGAGCCGGCTGCATCAGACCTCGGAAAACGGGCGCAGCGCAGCACAGTGCAATAGACTATAGTTGAGCTCAAAAGCTCCGCTTTTGACAACCTGGGCACCAAAATGCACGCAGCCAACACTCAGCACTGGACCCAGCAATAGCCAGCGAACCGGCAGAGTCAACCTTCGCACAGCTGCCGCCACACACACACACTAACTAGCAATTGGACGTATTTTGCTACTGTTTTGGCGCAACACATGTTGTGTGAACGCACAACACATGTCGTGTGCACCCAAACACAGGCACTGTGGCAGCTATAGCTACAGCAACAAGCAAGCCTTCGGCCAAACCTCCACTTCAGGGTCGGGGGGCTACAAAACACTTGCCCCAAAATGCAGACAGCCAGCGCTCAGCACACCAACGCTAGAGCCAGCAAACTGCCAGCAAACCTGCAGAGTCAAGCAACCCAACGCTAGATCCAGCAAACAGCCAGCGAACCTGCAGGGTCAACCCTCGCACAGCTGCCAGGCACACGCTTGCAGGAGTCGGGCTTTGGAAGGCCCACTAGAACTGGGACGGAGGGGCAACAGCAGTCAATGTCAAGAAGTGGGGTTTGTGCAGCGAAGCACTTCAAGAATTGCCCATGCAGCCTTTGACTTTGACGACCGTGTCGCCGCCAACCCATGGAGCCTCCTTCCAACGCTGTCTTGGGCTGACCCGGCGTGAGGTGAAAAACAATTGTGGCGTGGCGCGACGCGCAAAAACGGACGCGGCGTGACGTGAAATTCAAAACAAAAGCGGCGCGACGTGAAAAAACAAATGCGGCGTAACGTGCTGCGGCGTGGCGGGTAAAAGCGGACGCGGCGTGACATGTAAAAAACACGCGGCGTGACCTGCAAAAACGCACGCGACGTGCAAAAATGGACGCGGCGCGCGGCGCAAGCAAAACATTGCTGGATAAGAACACATTTCAGAGCAATCCTGACAAACCCTTGTGCGATTTGAAGGACAAAACCTTGTTCCTTTCAGGGGCTTTGACCCTTGACACCCACACACACACACACGAGCAGTTGCTTTTTGCTACCACTTTTGCACAGTGGGAAGCAGCGCTCAAAAAGGGGGCTGGGGGCGGGTCTCTTGCTGCGTGTCCAGCAAGGGGCTAGAATGGCCACACTGATTGCCCCGCCCAAAATTTATAACTGTTTGCTGTTGGTGCGTCGTCTTAAGTTCGCGATTTTCACGCTTCTCTACATTTCGTGTGTTCGCGCAAAATGGTATATGCAATTATATGATATATGCGTCATACACCCCTTACAAACGCGATACACCGATACACTGAATGTGGAACACGCAACATGCCCTTGGCGAAATGCATGCGCACAAAACGCAGCGCAGCCATGCCAGCAACCCATGCGCAAGCAACAGCCCCAGCATGCCACAGCCGCACCGAGCTGCAACGCCAACCTCCAACATGAGCATCGAATGAGTTCTTCTTGGGCCGGCGCCTACATATTACATTCAACAAGCCGAATCATGCAAATTGACGCGCCAAAACCGTGACCGGCGTGACAAAACAATAAATTTTCAGCACAGCGCCGCAAGTGGGAGGACAAGCCACGGGTCCTCGTGGATTTCCACCGCTACGCGCCTCACCTGGGACGTGAAGACTTCGCAGAAGCAGAAACGCTTGCGAAACACCATCACGCTGCAGCATCTTTGCGAAAGAACTTTGGAACACAAGCCTTGCGGCAAAGGCACCAAAACGGAAAGAAAATCAAGACTTTCGGACGTGAGGTGGTCATCAAACGCTAACGTCATCAAGCCGTCTGTGGATGAAGCACGAGTGTAGAGCTGCATCAGCCCAGAGTGAATGATCTATGCAAGTGCTGCCCGAGTATACGACCTATGACGCGAACCCGCACAAGACCAAGAACAACCCGCACAACATATACTATTTGCACTACTTAAACAGTTACTACTGCCATAGCACAGGAAACATAAGAAAAGAGGACGGCCTTTGAGTTGCCTCCGTGCTGGACGTCGCAGCAAGAGACCCCCTTGTTGCCAGCACCTGGAAATGCTCCCTCTAGCCCTCTAGTCTACTCAGAATTAAAGGAAGGACGGAGCAATCGCAATACGAAGTACGCCGCAGGCAAAGCGGGCAAAAGTACTGGTTCAACGAAATGTGGGTGGAGTGACGATACAAAACATTATTACCGTCATACTATACCGCATCGGCGCGCACCCGTTTTATCCGAGGTTCTCCGGCCGCTGCGACCGCTGCTGCTGCGGCTGCTGCTGCGTCTGGCGCCACGCAGCAGCTCGCCGCTGCCCATGCGCAGCGCTCACCATGGAAACCAACTTTAGAAGTGGTTACATGTTGAAACATGAAAGCTTCCCAGCCGGTGACCTATTGCTAATAAATTGTGAACAATTCCTGGCGTTCAGCGCCATGAATGCTGGAGCTTGATAGCTGCTCTGACAGTTGAGCAAGAAATCGCAAGGTCTTCGCGTACACCCACAGAGCCAAAAAGATGGTCACTGCGCGGCCAGAACCTGTCGAATCACATGAGCTAGCTCCACACAAAACTCCCTGGAACCAGGCTGCATCAGTTGCAGTGAAGACAAGGGAACTTGCTGGACAGTTGCTTCTAAACCTGACTCTTCAAGCCTCTAGACTCTAAGCTAAGAAAACAGACGTAAAAAAAAGGGTTAAAGGTTGCCCACTGAAGGGGTAAGATAAGACTACCAGGAGACCGTAAGGGGTGCCAATTGGTGGTGTGGGAAGGGGTATCTATTAACCACCCCTTAGGATCCAAACAACACCCCTTGGGGTCTCCTGGTATAGACCTCATGACAATCTGATGACCTCCTCTGGTTCGCTTCGGCTGCGAGTCCGTCGCTGTGTGCAGACAGTCCGTTCCGCATCGGTTGTACCGAAGAAGACCACCAGGCCACGTCTGGAGCAGATGTTGGAGCGATGTGGTATGTGTCTGCTAAGCAAACAATATATTTCATATATAGGCTTCATTTCATTTCTCCAAACATGTTCAAACAGGGGGTGTGCCACCTGACACTCACGCTCCCAATCTATATCGATCTGGTCACAAACTCTCATGGGAAAAGCACTCCATCAACAACAAAGCCAGCGAGTCTTCCCAGTCTCTTCCACACGTATCGGAAGAGTAGAAGGATGACACCTCCCCAAAAATCATAACGGAAGTGGAGTTCACCACCTGTTTGGCATGGATACAAATGCTCATCCAAGGGTATTGTCCACCTCCTTGAATTTCAGGGAGTTTGATGAGCTAAAGCCAAGTTGCAACTCCATTCACCTCACCACAATGCATCGCATCCCATCACCAAACCTATGCACCTTTCAAAAAATGCACCTTTCATATCTTTCGATACACCTTCAATCTTCCTCTCTCATCTCAGACATCTCTTTTGTGGGCACATGAAACCCATCTGCAGTCCATCTTCCCTACTCCCGCGGGAACACCGCTCCCCACCCCCCAGAACGCCGCCGCTCGGGCCGGATGCCTCAATCTCGCTGATCACAGGCAGCTCGTCGGAACGCAGCAGCGCCTCCACGAAGGACCTGGAGCGGCGACTCGTCTCGTCAGAGGAACGAAGCGAAGGAGGGGGTGATGAGGCCAAGAGCCGGCTCACCGCGGTCTGGGTTGGGTCTTGGCTGTTCCGCAATGCACGAACACAAAGAGAAAACACACCAGTGGGGGAACAGTAAGGGAGAGCAGAAGAGGAAAGTTAAAAGCAGGTCGAAGCGGAAAGTGCTCTGGAAACTTAAGTAACGAACGAGAAGTAACGCGAGCATCTTGTCTTGCACCGAAAGGACATGGATATGGAGGAGACATGTCTATGAATTGATGTAGATGTCGGACATCGCCCCGCAAATTTCACCATGAATCGAGGCCGTCTGAAGCTGTTCGTTGGGAAGATGTTGAACACCTGGAGGGGAAGGGCTAAAGTTGAAGGAGAGTGTGACAGAGTAAGCAGTTGATCCTCGTGCACTTGCTTCTCTGGTGGAAGCAAGACCGACTTGGCGAGCGACTCGCCTGGTGGTTCTCCGCCTGAACACGCCCCTGACTTGTGAACCCATGGAAGTTCTAAGAGTTGGATCCCTTTGACTTTGGTGATTTGATGGAACTTGGACTAAGAGGTTTGTGGCCCAACCTATAGCAGCACAAAAGTACGTATACTTTGTGATACTTTGTGTACCCTGCATGACCCCTTCACAGAAGCCAAGACAAGTATGGACCTTTTCATATCCAATGTGTCATGCCTAAAACAAATGTTCATGGACTATCCTTCTGGGTCTCAGTTTGTTCTGAGCAGTTTGGGCCTGTATGTAAACACAAGAATTTGTTTCCCGGTACTATTGTCCGTGGTGGGAAGAACCCATCCACAGGAACCACGGAAAGCATAGGGCCTAGGGATCACTGGTGGTAAGCACCAGGGCCACCAAACGGCATGCAGTGAGCCTAATCAAATCCATGGAAGTCAGGCCAGGAACGGACACAGGGTATTAATTCCTGACTCATATGTGTTGACCCTGTAACTGTTCAAGGCCATGTTCCTCCCTTAGTTGGGGTCCATGTTCCATTTTCCGGAGCGACCCACAGGCCAACCCGAGCCTTTCACCGATCGCCTGGACCGCCAGGCCGTCGCGTCGACGCACGAAGACGTCTCACATCGCGGACTCCGGGCTCCCAAGCACTGGGAGTTTCTCGAAGTGCTCTTCCGCATCTGGGCCAGGATGTGAGTGAGGTTTGTCATCTAAAAACTAGACGACGGTTGGTGCGAGAGCGAGACATGTAATTGTCCAGCACTGTCGAAAAGATGTATAGAAAGAGAGAAAGAGAGGGTGGATGTGAAGGAGTGACAGTGTGATGCGCAGGTGCGATATAGATCTGTAGATGTATGGAGGTGGAGAGGTAGATCTGTGGGTGTGAGCGTGCGAAGATGTAAATGCACAGAGACGAGAGAAAAGAAAGAAAGAAAGAAAGAAAGAAAGACAGGACAGATGTGAAGGAACGACAGTGTGGATGTACAGATGTGATATAGATGTGCAGATGTGTGGGTGTGGTGAGGTGGAGAGGTAGATCTGCGGATGTGAGCGTGTGAAGATGTAAGTGTAGAGAGGTGAGGGGGTGTAGACGTAGATGCGTCGATGCAACGGCAATGCAACGTCAACCTTAGTTACGCAAGTACAACGCTGATGAGGTTCAACTAGAACTGAAGAACGTACATTTCACACTGAAGTTTCCACGAGCAGGGCGACCTGAGAGTAAACGACGTCACGATCATGACAAGCGACTCATGTATTCCAAGCGAACATCGCTTGTCATGAAGGTGAAGTACACACATACTAACGTCACGATGACTCTTTTGTGGCAGCCACCTCTCAAGAGAGCCGGGTGGTCGGGAGACATGACTCAGCTGGAGGGGCGCCAGAGCAGCCGCGAGAGATGACTCGGCCGCGAGCGATGACTCATCCGCGTACTCAAGTTGTACTACAGAGTCGCCAGTTCTCAGCTTCCAGCTCCACAGCTTGCTCCGCGTACTAAAGTTGTACTACAAAGTCGCCAGTTCTCATCTTCCAGCTCCCCAGATACTCCGCGTACTAAAGTTGTACTAGAAAGTCGCCAGATCTCATTTTCCAGCTCCCCAGATACTCCGCGTACTAAAGTTGTACTACAAAGTCGCCAGTTCTCAGCTTCCAGCTCCACAGATTGCTCCGCGTACTACAGTTGTAGCACAAAGTCGCCAGTTCTCATCTTCCAGCTCCCCAGATACTCCGCGTA